AGCAGATGCCACACTTGCAGAACGGGCGGGTGGTCTTCCTGCGCGCATCACGGCCGCAGTTTGCGCGGCACTCTGCCCCAGCGAAGCCAAGGCCACAGATGGCGCTGCAGAACCTCGGATGCAAGCAGGTACGCTGGGCCTCTTCGGAAGAGGCCTTGGACACAACAGCTCTAGCGACAAAAGCGCAAGTAAGACCTCATTGAAACTATTCTGCGAGGAGCCCGTCATCTTCGCAGATAGGGTCACCTCCTGGTGCACCGGTCGTAGTTACCCCGGAGGGCGTAGTGGTCTCCTCCTCCTCCTCCGTTGTGGTTGCGTCCTCCGTGGTGATTGTTGGCTCTTCAGTGGTGGTCGTAGTTGTTGTTGTGGTGGTGGTGGTGGTCGTGGTGGTGGTAGTGGTTGTGGTCGTGGTGGTGGTGGTTGTGGTGGTGGGCGCTTCTGTGGTAGGGGGGGCCGTGGGCGCTTCTGTGGTAGGGGGAGCGGTGGGGGGCTCTGTTGGCGGCGGGCCTCCGCCGCAACTCTGGCAGTATGCTTGCAAGAGGCCACCGAGGCCGTTTGGGTCCTTTAGGGCTTTCGGACATTTCTGGTTGTTTGAGAAGCATGCGCCCCTCCTGCTTGGAATCTTGCAAAATCCATTCTTGCAGATGACTTTCGCCTTTTTGTTAACTTGGGAAATCTCGTTGGGGCAGATCTCCGACTCGACGACTTGGATGATCGCCTTGTAGCCATCGTCGCTGTAGCAGACATCCAAGCAGGTGGCGCTGTCCCACGCCAGAGAGCTTTCGCTCCCCTCACAGTACTCCTTGCAGAACCTGACAGGTCAAACCTACAAGAGCACAAACACTTCGACACACATCGAAACAATGTAATCGAGCTATAAGACTGCATGGTGAAGCACGCTCTTTGCAAGGCACCTTGATCGCGTGCAGATGGCTGGCACGGGGTAGGGGTGGCCGTGCTGCTGATCGCTGAGCCCATGTGCCAGCGCAAGCTGGCATAGAGACAGCAAGAAGGCACGTTGGCCCACCATGTTCACTGCGAGCCACTACTCCTGCAGGTTGCAGCTGAGCCCAGGCACTGCGTGATATGTGCTACTGTGAGACTGTAGTTGGTGCTCGTCTCCGATCTCAGGTGCCAGGACCCGGCCTTCAATGCAGATGAATCAAAGCATCATGTGTCGACCTCAGGTGGAAGCTGCCACAGCTTCCAGAAAGTAAAGCCTTTCGGCTTCCGATTCATAAAGCAAGGTCAGACAAGATCTGCGACGCAAGTGGTGCGTAAGGCATGCGGGTATGCTGTTCATGCCTTTAATGTTTGCACGGCCCCCGACGGCCCCCGAAGGGACTGCCACCTTTTTTCTGATGGACATGTCATGCATGAAAGCCAACCCAGAACAGCACTGATGAACAGAGTCAGAGCCAACCCATCTGGGGCAACGGCTGCCCCATGTAATCCCATGTACATCATGTAGGCCTCCCGAAGCTTTGGCTGTATCCCATCCCCATGCTGTTTCGAGCGTACTGTGGAGGCCCACAGTGGCAGCTTTCCGCTTGCTCCTAAGTGCAAACTGTGGCGCTGACTACCGCTGGGCTGGTGCCTCTCGTGGTCAATGTAAAGCAGCCTACAGAGAGTGCACAGACACTCAACCGCGGATGACCAAAGCTTTCCGGGAAACCGCACATAGCCCATGGCAGCTCTGGCGCGGCAAGCTGATCGCAGAACTCTGTCTCAAAAGAAGGCCTTTTTCTGCATGAAGTCGCCACAAGCAATCTGCTGTTGGCTGGGAAGGCAAGAGCAAGAGCGAAGCAACCCGATGCCAGCACTGCTGCACTGATGCACTGATGCACATCGCATGGCCCTTGTCCCTGTACACTTGCGTGCTCAATTACACCACCGCGAAGCTGCCTCTCATCTTGCAAGACCCGCATATCAATACGTGCTGCGCATCGGGATGTCTGAAAGATGGCTGCGCACAAGAAGCAATCTGCTGACGCTGTGCTTCGACAAGCAGTGGCCGAACTCAGGCGATTACAGATGTGAACGGACAAGTCTATAGAGTCTGTAGATGTAATTATGGGGTCCGTCGTAATGCATCCAGCAGCTCCTGAGGTCGCCTCTGCAACAGGACTAAGATCGAAGTCCAAGTTTGCCAAAAATGCACAAGGCGACCCTCAGCAACATCCTCTATGAGGAGATGCTTCTGGTTGCCGGAACTTCTAAATTGTTGGGTCACACCGCTGCTGCCACAAAGGGGCAGTAGCACATGCATGCTGCCTTTCTCCGTGACCCGCCAGGTTGCTTTCGCCTGCAGCCAAACCCTCATGGTAGTCTCCCAAAATGAGGGGACCCCAATATAGACCCCAACATAATAAGTCCTCAGTATTGAGACCCCCAAAAATGGTACCCCTAATTTTGGAAAGCCCTAAACCCTAAACCCTTTTTTACCCCGAAAGAAACCTATATATCCCCCTATAAAGCCCCCAAAATGGTACCCCTTATTTTGGGAAACCCCTCTGCAGGAGGGGGGGTAGGGGTGCTCGCGCAGCTTTGGTCTGCCCACAGCGGTGGCTAGGGTTTAGGGTAAGTTTGGGGGGCCCTAGAAAAATTGAATTGTTATGGATCTCAACAGAGTATATATAGTCCCCCTTAATTAGATAGAAAATGTTCATGGGGATCTTATTAATTACAATATGCCCTCAGCCGTATTCTATCTACTTAAGGGGGACTATAACCCCAATATACACCCTATCATACTACAGTAGTTTCCATTTTCTTTTCCATTATTCCATATATAACCCCAAGAATATACCCCATATTCTATCCACTAAAGGGGGACTACAGGTGTACCTGTCAGCCCATTCATCAGTCATCCTTGCAAGGGTCAGGCGTTAACTCCCGTGAGCCCTGGTCCTATAAACCTAAACCCTAAATAGTAGTTTCCCATTTCATTTTCCATTAGCCCTACATATCCTCTCTAAACCCCAATATATCCCCTATATACTATAATAGTTTCCATTTTCTGTTCCCATTATCCCCCTAACCATCCCTAACCTGACCCCCCGAAAAGATCCCAGACCATGCCAGTTTTCAGGGAGCAAAAGTCATGCACGTATTGCCCGGAAAAGAATGCCCCACCTGCAACGCACCCCGAGCCCCGAAAAACAGCGAACTTTCGCCCTAAAACATCCCAGCTCAGGCCTTAGTTCAGGGTGATCTTGTCCATGAGTGCATTCCTTGAAATGCGCAGGCCCTCAACGTCCACGTTCTTGCGTCTGCGGCGCGAGCCGGCTTCATCGTCGTCGCCCTGGGCATTAGGGCCAAGCAAACACTTTTGCCGCATNNGGACAACTCGAGCTTCTGGGGCTCCGGTCCTTGCGGCGGCGCCGCGAACCGGCATCATCATCATCGTCCTACGTTGCGGTGAGCACCATGCAGAATCCCCAGCAAAATACTTTTTGGAATGGCAACAGCTCTAGCATGCGCCGAGCAAGCTTCTTTGAGCCTTACGCGGCCAATACAGCCAACGATCTCGTCGTCAAAATGGGTCCTTCTTCCTCTTCTTGTCGTCGTCCTTCGAGCTAGCGAATGGCTGTACAATGCTGCACATACTTGGGCTGGGTGCATGCCAACGGTACGATGCACTT